TCCCTCGGCCTCCGTTGGGATTATAGGCGCGATTCAGTTGGAACTTCGTCAGGGAGGGAGAGGGGTGAGATTATGCTGGTTTATCATGCTTAGCAAGAAACTTGATGCTGAGTTTAAGCTAGTAAATTTTTTCCTGCCAGTCATCACTCAATATGAGATTTATTGGCTAACATGATAAATCCATGAAGGAATTTGAATTGGGATTTGATTAATCGCAAGTTCTTATCGGTAATTCGTAGACATGAACAGGAGGAGGCAGGAAAAGCTTGAAATATCGAATTCACACCGGAAATGTGGTCTGTTTTGTTTCTGGAAAATTGCTAATTTGAGAAGAGAATTGTTACTGCGCAATCCTGGCCCTGGACTGAATGACAAACACACACATACATGGCTTCTTCACAAGGCACTGCTGGCAAAATCATTTCACAATCCATCAATGGTTATGGTAAACAGCGCAGGAAAAGGGGGATTCGTGCAGAGAACAGAGTGAAAGTGTAAGAAGCTTCTAGGAAAGAAAATAAGGTAAGTCTGGATAGGGCAACACATCAAGCAGAGCGTCAGGAGCAGTCAAATCAGCTTTTAGCTTTTTGCTGCAACAAGCAATTTTCGTGCTCGCATAATTACAAGAATTGCTGGTTCGGTGCTAAAAACTTGATGAAAATGTGTTTTCTTTCCAGGAAATGACTTAAGCCACTTCCAGAAAAAGTACTATCAAACGCAAAAAATGGAGAGCGAAAATACAATATTTTTCATGTTTACCACTTTTTGGACACTTAATGGTTTCGCAGAACAGCTGTTTATAGCTGCCAAATTACCGGAGTTATTGCTGGCAGTGGCAGTTGAGGGTTCAGGATTTATTTGAAGACTTAATTGAATCTTTCTACTCGGGGAACCTCCTGCTCCTCGAAGTGCATGGATTGTCGGTGAGGGATGAAAAATGCAGTACGTGAGCCCAGGGATGTTAGATCTGTCAAACAGAATTTAAGATTTCTGCTCGGTGACACAAAGTTAGCCAGGAAGTACGAAACTGTGCTGAATGCCGGAAAAGAGCTTTTAGAGCACCATCAACACACAGAAATTGATAATAGCAGTAAATTTTAAAATAAATGTGAACAAGCATAAGAGTG